TCTGAGACATCTATCATCCATGTGAATCTGACACAACTTCCATCAAAGCCACGGGGCATCTTTCCATTGACTTCGATGGAATCAAGCTCTGTATGTCAAGTAAGAAATCAATTACTTCAGTTACTTCCACACAGGAGACGGCTTTTCACATCTGTAATTCATTTAAATGACTAGAACAAGGGAACTGACTGAGCACAGAAGAGTTGCAAGAAAAGCCAGGATCATGCAGTGCAGCGAGGAAAGCAGTCCTGCAAGACATCTTTGTGATGAACAAAGAGATTGTGAGGATAGTTACTTGTAAAAGGAGGTCAGCGCTTTTCACACCTTCCACCTCACACCCAAAACCTCTGAACGGCCCCCTACACGCACCCACACGTGTGCACACACCTCCCCGCACACCCCCTTCCCAGCCAGCAGCCGCTTTGATACAACGCTGTGAGTGTTTCTCACTTTAATCTTCCACAAGCTGGCTCTGTTCTAATTAAAATCTCAGCCCATATGAGGGATTCCCTGCATCTCAGACACCTCAGGTGCTGTTTCTTTCTCTTAATTTTCTTCCACTGCCAACAGAACTTTTTAGAAGCATTAAGGCACTGCTTTTTGTAGGCTTTCAAGTCACTCTTTCTTTTTAGATGCTTGCTAAGTCAACCGTAAATTTATGGTTACAAATACCACCACTTTCTGCACTTTTAATTTGGCTTCATTCACAATGCAAATACAAAACAGAACTTCAAAGTTCAGCAGAAATCCTTTTGCTTCATGATAGCCCAATTCCTTTCCACATTTCTTTTCAAGCATGCAATGACAGGATTAGCGGGGGATTAATTACTTGAAACTCAACCTGCATCTCAGGTCACAGTTTTCTCATATTTTCAGCCTTTAAAACTTTTCTATCAACCAAGTATTTGTCATACAGACCAATACTTAACAACAGATAAGATATCCTTTCCACACAAATGTCCTAACTGGAAGTCTCAAAACCCAAACAAAAATCCCGCTTACTGTGCAAACTCCAATCCTCCCATCCCAAGTTACAGTCATATTCCCAAATGGGAACGAGACTGCTTTCCAAAAATGTCACCTTTAAAGGCACAAAAAAAAGATCATTCTCTGCTTCCTGTATTGTTCCTTAAAGGCAACTGCTCTTCTGTTAAAGTATGCTTGCTTGCCGGAGGGTAACCTAAACAGTCGGTGTAAGTGCAATGTGACTTGATTTTTTATTAATTTCTTCTCTAAGAATGGTCATGGGCTGGATTAAAATACATCAGTGCCTAGATACTGACTCAGAACCAACCGTAAAATATGGTTAGGACAGCAGGACTAGCCTAGGCTGGGCACTTTGTGGAAGACAGTCACTGGAAGGGAGTCTTTTTCAATATAAAAGGTCATCTAAATTATAACAACATGTAAGAAGATCATCCCTTAATTAAGATATCTCCTGCCACTGTTGTCCTACTGGAAACACATTATTGCCACAGTAAGGACAAATGCTGCAACGTTAAGATGTCTGCAATTTCACTTTGACTTTGCTTTTATGGCAGAAGAATAAAAATGCCTCCAGTCCCCTTTTAGTTATGACTTATGTTCTCCAATCAACTGGAAACATTCAGATTCATGGGCTGCTATAACTCCATTCTATTTATTTATCATTTTATTTTGTTTATAGATCTTTTCTTGTCCAGTTCATGTCTGTTTTAACTGCAAAACGAAACAAAAACAACAAAAAAAACATCCTCTGCCACTTTCTACACAAAATAAACTTGAGCCAAGTAAGTATCACTCTAAAAATATCCTTAAGTGATTCTTTGCAGATTTAGGTTATTTGTAACAAACTAATGGCCAAAAAAAGATGATTTTTAAAATTTTATACTGAACCTGCTCTGATGCACATGCCATAAAAGGAGCAAAATTAACTGCACCACCTGCAGGGCTCATTTTACTTGATGCTCTGAGAATGAAAAAAGTCAAGAGCAGGAGGCAAGAACAAAAAAGAAAGGCAAACCAAGTTGAACATAGAAGACTAAATTAAACAATAAAGACATCAAGAGAAAGAAAGCATTACAAGCAAGTGTTCAAGCATGTTCAAACAAAACACAGGTACTGTGTTAAACACTGTGTAAATCCAAGCTATGCAAAATTCCCAGTACCGCACTTGTGAGCTCTGCATTAAAATAAAAATGGGTGAGGAAGGTGCATGCTTCTTCAGGGAAATGCTTTTGAGCTAAAATACACACAGTGGTGTTGAGGCAAGAGTAAGCAGGGTGAAAGCTTCCACTAGGGCGCCTTCTGGTTGAGCAAGAGACGCAGGTTACTGGTAGCATATGTGTTTCTGCAGTTTCACAAAGGGCAAATATGACCTTAACACCGCATGGAAGGAGTACACCGTGTCAGAATTGACTGTAATGCATAGATATAATTAAATACTAAAAAATATGTAACTTTTCCTCAGCCATGCTCACTCACTATTAGCTTAGACCACTTACATAGATTACTCCAACTTCCTTACAAATGGATGGAGCTAGTTGCCACTTTTTAGCTGAAATGACTGCCTTGGGTTTTTATATAACAGAATACTACAGAAATCCAGGAGCATGGACCAACTTGCCTGCAGTGATTGCCTATGGAGCAGATACCAAACACATGCAGTTTTTAAGAAGATCACCAGGGCTCTCATCTATCCCATTCACATCAGCCTCTTGGCCCCTTCTCTCGCCAGATCAGGGAGCAGCCATCAAGCCCAGACAACAAAGTTGCCCTTTTCTCTTTACAATAAGATTGGTGAATAGAATTTTTAATCAACAACTTTGAAGTAACAGAGCTATCTAACAAGTCACTGCCTGTGCAATAGGTGGGGACAGGAACAGTGCATTGCACTATGACATTGTTAGATGTCTCCATCAGAAAAACTCGCCCACCCTGAACACAAACGCAACAAACTGCTGCATCTATCACAGAGCTGCCAAACTCCTCCCATGTCACCAGCACCTGACACTCGCAACAAAAACACAGGGATCACTCCACCTGAATGCATCCTAGTGCTTGCTTTGGTATCACCTCCCTAAATCTCCTCTGCCTTCCCTGCTTACCTTTCCCTTTTTCCTTCCAGTAAGCCTCATCTAGCTGCTGCCACAGTAGACCTACTGCAAACTCCAAGAAACAGAGTGCTAGCATCACGTGGAAGGAGATGCCAGTCAAAGCTTGCTGTGGGGTGGTCCTCCAACAAGAAGGCTCCCTCAACACTGATCACGATTAGGAAAGAGCTCAGTATTATCATTGTCAGAATGCATAAACCAGAATCTGATTATAGCCACCGCTGTAGTATCACCAAAAATCTCGTATCTGCACTGAGGATTCAGACCTGCTACAGCCACAGTTGCTTGCATTCCTTGTGGGGACCGCAGCACAGGCCTTCTGAAGGGACAGTGTCTCCTTCCAAGGGAGGTGGTCGTAGGGGAGACAAGTTTTACCAGTTTAACTCCTGTCCAAGTGCATTCTCCTGTCTTCATTAAGGGTTTACACCAATGCTGCTACCGTTGGAAGTCTGCCATCAATAAGCAGGTCAAACCTCTTAAGTCTGGGAAAAGCCTCTCTATTGTTTTCTGTCTCATGAACAGTTCTTCAGTAACTATGTATTTGGTTTGGAGAGCAGGGTGTTAGAAAACAATTGATACGAATAAAGAGCCCTCCTTCAGCATTGAAAGTAAACTGTATGCTTAATAAGATGAAATAACTTGGTCTCTGTGGGCCCGAAAACAATAGCCTCACTGTTGCACTGATACCTTGCAAGTTATGTCCTCGCGTCACCCAAGGCAAACTAATAGGGACTGCTCCACAGCTCAGATTCCCTTTAAACCTCTTAGCTAGCCTCTTTTACCTCCTCAGCAGGTTTCCCTCTTTAGCACAGACATGAATCAGTTGCTCCAGGAAACCTCAATTCCTCCAAAAAAAAGAAATTATGTTTTATAAGGCTGTGGTAAGGTCACCTATGTTTCTTGCAAATATCCCTAACTTCCATTCTTTACACCAGGAGTTGAGATTGCATAATGAAGTAAATAGTATCAACAACTGTGACTGACTTAAAAGGGAGCAACAGCAGGTAGAGCTTTGTCCTCTCTCTCTCTGAGCAGGATGAGAATCTACTAATTACTTTATTACAGTGTGGGTGGAAAAAGGAGTGAACTTCAAATCGGCACAGCATTCAACAAAGTATTTCCTTTACAGGGAAGAATTAAGAAATAACCCCAAACCTAGTATAAATCTGCCTCCCAATTCCTCCTTTTGTTTACAGCAGGTTTGAGGTTACTTACACAGTGGCACAGTATTTAAAGACTCCATAAGCATCTCCACGCCCTAGGGCATAAGCCCACCTTCAGCTGTCTAGCACTGAGAACAAACATTTCCTAGAGGCAAGCTACTATGTAATGTTCAGGATGATGCTTCTTGCATCCTCCTTCTTTGATCTGTCAAATAAAAGCCACCACAATATTAAAAAAAAAAAAAAAAACCACAAAAAACCCCCTACCTAAATATAATATTATTTTATTTTCCTGCCATAATTCTACACTTATTTGCTCTCATTTTTATGGATCTTTTTATCATTACTGGTGCAGACAAACAGCTGCTGGAAGCAGCTAAACAAACCGTGTACAGTACAACGAAAAATTCAACACGCATGTTCACCTTCAAGGTAAGACAGTAATAACAGAACACCAAAACCAGAGTCTTAGCAAAACCGAATATGCTAAGTTATGCCACTGAAGTCAAATGGGTTTTAGCAGCTTAATTTGCCCCCTTGATACTCAAAGGCACAGAGACTATTCCATTACTAAAAAATGCACCACCATCACTATACAGCAATGGCTAGGGATTTGAAAAATAACAAAGAATACCACTCAGACATCAAAGAGAGGACAAGAAATAAACATCCCTTCATGAGGAGGGCCTTCCGTGAGGAACACCCTCAGGGACTACAATCCACCGTGAGCACAAGGCACTCTTACCTGTATGAGTGAGTATGTGCCGCTGTAGAGAATTTACCCATGGAAAGACTTGAGGACAGTAAGGACAGGGGATATTTTGCAGGCAGTCTGAGTAAGCATTCCTCTTCCCTCTCAGCAGCTTATCTTCAGCAGTTTCCTTCTCATCCTCACTTGTTCCATTTCTGCCGCTTTCTTCCTTGAAATTGTCAGTGGACTGCAGAAAAGGGCTAAATTTATTAGTGTCTGTGGTAGCCAGCATCTTCTCTATGCTGGCAAATTCTCCACTTGACTCCAGATCCAGACCACTGCTAAATTTAGGCTTATTTTTTGTTCCTTTCTTTCTACCTCTTCTCTTAGTCAACACAGGTTCGGCAACAGGAGATGGCTCTGGATCACATGCCTGAGCCAGGTCACTGGGCAGGCTGGAGTCTCTCTGCACGGTGGTCACGATTGTCACTTTTGCTTTGGCGTTCCCTGATTTGTCACACCCAGTGGAGCTGCTCACTGCCTTGGGACTGGTGTCTGCAGCCTCCGTTTTCAGCAAAGCGGGAGCAGAAGACACAGATGAAATGATCTGTGCAATGGAAGCTAGCGGTGGCAGCTCTTTAGTTACTGGAGGCTTTGGCAAGAGAGGCGGCGGTGGTGGTTTAGGCCTCAAGGGTCTCAGCAAGGCAGAATTGCCAAGGAGAGCCGGGGAAATGATTGGGACAGTCAAATGCAATGAACCTTTCAGTGGCTGGGTATGTCTGACACCCCTGCTTTTCTCTGTGTTCCCATTGGCACCAAAAACCAAAGGACACTGCAGACAGTTATAGGCTTTATCACTGTTCCCAGGAGCAGCCAACTCTTGACTCCTAGCTTCATACGGGACATCTTCCTTATCCTTCTTCAGGGCTTTGGGGATGGACAGGTCAATAGGCTCCATGGAACAGTCGTAGAAGGACACAGGAGAAGAGCCAAACAGGTTCTCCTGCTTCACTTGCACAGCACTCAGGCTTCTGTTCTTCTGAGAGAAATCCAATGGCTCATCAAAATCCATTGGGAAGTTGCCCGCAGGCTCAAGTTTGATGGGAACATGAGACGATGTCCCAAGCAAGAAGCCATTCTGTGGCTCCAGGAAAGGCGTCATGGGCTTGTGGTCCATGTAAGTGCTGTCCTCCAATAAGGAAGGGTCTGTCTGGCTTGCCTGGGCACTGCAGTCCACTGCTAAGATGTAATTCTCAATCTCCCTTTCTTGCACATGCAAGTGCTGCTTGAGGATATGGTGAATGCAGTTTCTCTTGGCCGAAAAGGCTGTGCCACACTCCTTGCACTCAAACGGCTTCTTCTTCTGGCAGCCGCTGTGCGTCCTCATGTGAATGCGGAGGGCCCGGTAATGCTTCAGGTCCTCACCGCACAGCTTGCACACAGTGTCTGGGGAGCAGAAGGCATCCACCATCTCTGCAGCATTGCTGGTGACGTACTCAATGTTCTTCTCTATATCCTTCCTGGTCACTTTGAAGTGCTTCTTTCGCAGGTGCCTCTCACAATTGGCTTTCACTGTGAACGGGTAGTGGCAGATTTTACAGATGTAAGGCCTCTCCCCGCTGTGTGTCCGCAGGTGCCGGATCAGCGCTGCCTTGTCAGCTGCAATGTAGTCACAGATGTTGCATTGGTATGGGGAAATACCCAAGTGAGAACGGATGTGAGCTCTCAGGACACCAGAGAAGGCAAACACCTGGTCACAGAAACGGCAGGGGTACAAAACTTTCCTCATGGTTGGGGCTTTCTTGTTCGCTGCCCCTGCGATGATGGCTTTGAGGTCTCCTTCTGTGACCTCTTGCTTGATTTTGGCTTCCATACTCAGAGGCAGGAGAGCTTCGATGATGCTGTCCTGCTCCAGTTGTGTCTTCATCTCATGCTGAGTTAAAGGCTCTACTTTGGGCTGGAGGAGCAACTGCGAGGAAGGGCTCGATTTGGCTCCTGGCTGAGAGAGGTGAGAGTTGGAGGAGGACTCCACTGAGTTCTTGATCAGCCTCAGAGGGGGAGGTGGGAGGCTCGGGCTGATGCAGCCAGGGGAGGCTTGCTGGGCACTGATAAGAGGAGGAGGTGTAGAGGTTGCGACGACTGTTCGGGGTGTTACCAAAGGCTTTGGCTTCAGTGGCGGCATATGCTTGAAAATGGACTGCACAGGGACAGAAGGTGCCTTAGAAAGGGGAGGAAGACTGATCTGAGGAGGAGCGGAAGAAGCCATCTTCAAGATCTGCTGAATGTCTGCCAGCTCAATGGCAGACTCATTGGAGATGGGTTTTACCACAATACTGCTGTCAGGCTGGATGATAAAACCCTTCTGGAAAGGCTGCAGCGAGAGAAGCTTTATGTTTTCTTTTGTAGGGGGAAGGACTGAAAATGACCCTCCCATAGAGGCAGCTTCCAGAGGAGAGAGGCTGAGCAGACCGGTGCTGCCGGGTTCCTGAGGTAGGTTACTCTTCAGTGCTCTGAGCCGCATTTCTTGGACCTCATCTTGTGTACTGTCCTCCTGCTTGACAGGCTTGATGTCTTTGGTGTACTGTAGGCCCAAGGATGCCATGAAGGCTTTCTGGTCTGGGTTCTCGCCGGGTGGGATCGCGGACTGTTGCTTGTGCTTGTCTTTTCCCTGATCCAACAGGTGAGTTTCTGTGTGCAGTTTGAGCGCCGAAAGCATGGGGAATGCCTTGTTACACATCTCACAAATAAATCGATGGAAGTCACTGATGCACCTTCGCAAATTTGTTTCACACCAGACCTGCAAGACATGCAAAAATATTTAGAGTAGACATCTCAAACTGGAAAGGCACCACATGCTTCTGCAAAACAAAACCAGTTTACTCTCTCTTCCACTGCCCAAGTTAAGGAGTTTAGAGC